GAGGAAGAGAGGGAAGAGTGATAAGGGGCCCTATCTAAGGAGGGGATAATAATGAAGAAGATGTGGGGAGATAAAAGAGGAGGAGGAATAGGGGCGAGGTAGTCAGCTGCTGAGCCGTTGAGAGGGGGAAATAAGAGGAGGAGGGATAACGGTGGGGTAGTCTGCTGCTGCGCCGCTGAGAGGAGAAACAAGAGGAGGAGGGATAGCGGCAGAGTAGTCTGCTGCTGCGCCGCTGAGGGGAGAAATACGAGGAGGAGGGATAGCGGCGGAGTAGTCTGCTGCTGCGCCGCTTAGAGGAGAAACAAGAGGAGGAGGAAAGGTGTGGAAGGAGATTGGCGCCGAAACACAGACAGCTACGAGCTGCAGCAGAGAGGGAGAGAAGAGAGGCGCAGGAAGAGGTTAGAGGGTGGGGGGGGGAATAGAGGGAGAGAGAAGAGGAGGAGGAGGGTGAAGAGGCGGAAGGTGGGGAGGAAGTAGGGTCACGATCACCAAGTGGCAACCAATACCACGCAGCCAGTTGGCAGAGGCGGAGGGGAAGGAGGTGGAGGAAGGGAGGAGAGGCACGGAGGGGAGGAATGTATGAAGAGAGGAGGAGGAGGATGAAGAGGCGGAAGGGGTGAGGGGAGAAGGAGGAGGTGGTGCAAAAGCGGCAGAAGAAGGTGCACCACGAGGGAAGGGAAGGCGCCTGCAGGGAGGTGAGGCAGGACGCCAACAAGAGGGTAAGGGAGGGCGGCCGCGGGGAGGGAAGGGTGGCCGGGGAGAGGGAGGGCGGTGGACAAGACGTGCGGGCGCATTGACGGCGGGAAGGCCGCGCGCGTCCACGGCAGTAAGGCCGCGCGCGTCGACGGCGGGAAGGCCGCGCACGTCGACGACAGGCAGGGCGCGCGACGCGGCGGTGGCTAGGGCGCGCGACGAGGTGGGGCAGGGGAGGACGACGCGACGACAGAACAAGGCGCGCGACTAGGCAAGGAGGCCGCTGAGAAAACTGAAACGAGAATGAATGAACTATGAAAAAGTTGGGTACAAGTACTAACCCTAATTGGGTTGTACCCCTTATGGGCTACCCCACTACAGCCTACACAAATGCATAAGCTATAATGTTCAGACAGCCGCGGGCGATGGATAGAATGTACCGCGAGTGAAAAAAACAGGAGAAAATTAAGGGCCGAAATAGTAGGGAAAAAATAATTCGACTAGCACCTAAGAGAGCAGACTCACCAGCACCTGAGGAAGCATACGCACCTTCGGCCTCCCTCACCTTCACCCTTGACTCGGCTTCTAGTCTTCCCCGGTCCCTCCCTCCCTTTCCACCGGGCCCTGCCCCTCCCTGCGTCCCCTGCGTCGTGGGGCGCCAGCGTGCTGCCCCTCACTCCTCCCAGTTTCCTCCGACAGAGGCCCCACTGCAGACGCTTCACATGGACGTGTCCGTGGACAGGGTCACGAGCGCTACTTCCTGCTGGTGGTTGACGACTACTCGCGTTACACCACAGTCTTCCCCTTGCGCAGCAAGGGTGATGTCATTGAGGTGTTGATTGACTGGATCCGCGCAGCTCGTCTCCAGCTCAGGCGGAGCTTCGTCTCGGACTTTCCTGTTATGCGTCTGCGCTCTGACAGAGGCAGAGAGTTCTCCTCTGGTCTCCTGCAAGCCTACTGTCGTAAACGAGGCATCCACCAGACCTTCACGCTTCCGGACTCTCCACAGCAAAATGGGATTGCTGAGCGCCGCATTGGTATGGTCATGGACGTTGCTCGTACGTCCATGATGCATGCGGCTGCCCCCCATTTTCTATGGCCGTTTGCGGTTCGGTACGCGGCGCATCAGATCAACCTTCAGCCCAGGGTCTCCTTGCCGGAGACCTCCCCAGCCTTGCTGTAGACGGGGAAGGTTGGCGATGCGTCTGCGTTCCGTGTCTGGGGATCTTAGGCGTTTGTCCACGACTTGTCTGTGGACAAGCTGTCCCCTCGTGCTGCTCCTTGCGTCTTCCTGGGTTTCCCCCCTAACACGCCAGGGTGGCAGTTCTACCACCCCACCTCTCGCCGTGTTCTGTCCTCCCAAGACGTCACGTTTGACGAGTCAGTCCCTTACTACCGCCTCTTCCCCTACCGCACTCCGTCCCTTCCCCCGCCATCGCTCTTCCTTGTGCCAGGTCCCCCCCCGGTAGACCCCCTCCCCCCTCAGGGTCCTGCCCCTTCAGGTGTGTCCCACGTAGACGCAGTCGAGCCTGTCGAGGTTGCTGGTGACTCTGGTGCTGCTGAGGGTGCTGAGCCTGGGGGTGCTGACTCTGGGGGTGCTGAGCGTGTGGGTACTACGCCTGGGGGTGCTGAGCCTGAGGGTGCTGCTACTGGGGGTGCTGAGCCTGGGGGTGCTGAGTCCCGGGGTGCTGCGACTGGGGGTGCTGAGCCTGGGAGTGCTACGCCTGGGGGTGCTGAGCCTGGGGGTGCTACGCCTGGGGGTGCTGAGCCTGGGGGTGCTACGAGTGGGGGTGCTGAGCCTGGGGGTGCGGAGCGTGGGGGTGCGGAGCCTGCGGGAGCTAGGCCTGCTCGTGTTGCGTCTAGCGGTACTGTGCCTGGAGGTTCTCCGGGTGCTGCGTCTCGGCGGGAGCCACTCTCTGCACAGGAGCTGCGCGAGTAGTTTGCTCGGCGATGGAGGCGTGCTGCTGGAGCTGGAGGTTCTTCGGCTACTGAGGGTGCTGCTGTCGCGGGTCCCGCAAGTGCTCGTACTGGGAGTACTGGAGCTGCTGGGCCTACGGGTACGACTGGAGCTGGAGCTACTGAGGGTGTTGGCGCTGAGGCTACTGCTGGCGGTCCTGCTGGGGGTGCTACTGGTGTTGCTGGAGGTCCTGGAGCTACTGAAGCTACTAGGGGTACTGCTGGCGCTGGTGCTGCCGCTGGGGGTGCTAGTGCTGTCCCTGCTGTGTCTGGAGTCGCCGCGCGGCCTCGGCCGTACTTCGTTCCGCTCCTTCAGCAGGTTCTTGGTCTCCCGCCTTCTGCTGGTCCTCCTCCTCCCTTAGAGTGTCCACAGCCTGTCCCGTCATAGTTACAGCTACAGCCTGCCTCCCCTCTACCTGCTCCTTCTCCCTACACTGGTCCTACTGGAGGTCTTGCTGAGCGTCGTGAGCCTGCGTCTCGCCCTGCGTCGCGTGTTCGTCCTGCTCGCACTAGTGGTCGTGGTTCGCGTCAGCTTCCTCCTCCTATCCCTGGCACGCACCGGATGTCTCTGCGTCCGTCCACTGCTCCTCTGCGTACCCCTTTGCCTTCTCCTCCTGAGTCCTCTCTTCCTGCTCTTCCCGACCCGGAGTCGGACTCTCTTCGTGCTGCCAGTCCTACTGTCACGCGTCTCCTTGCTACTGTCGTCACTGACCCTTCCTTTGAGTCCACTGCTGCGTCTGCCCTAGTTGCTGAGCTCGTCGACTTTGCTGCTCGCTGTCGTCTAGACTACGCTGCTAGTCTTGTCGCTGAGTCTGAGTTTGTCTGTCCTCCGTCCGTCGGGGGTGAGTGTGCCCTTGGCACGGACGTCCTTGAGGACGGGCAGGAGGAGTTCCAGTGTTTGGCTGCTGCTTCACCTCATCTCGTGTCCGTACAGCTTTACCCTGAGGGAGACCCGGATGCACTTGACATCCCGACTCCGCGCTCTTACGCGGAGGCGATAGAGGGTCCCTACTCCTCTCAGTGGCAGGCAGCTATGGATGCAGAGATGGCTTCCTGGAAGTCCACAGGCACCTACGTTGTCGTGGTTCCCCCGCCTGGGGCGAACATCGTCAGTGGCATGTGGATTTTCAGGGTGAAGCGGCCGCCGGGTTCTCCGCCTGTCTTCAAGGTGCGTTCCGTGGCTCGTGGCTTTAGTCAGCGGCACGGAGTTGACTACTTTCAGACCTTCTCTCCCACCCCGAAGATGACCACTTTTCGAGTATTGCTGCACGTAGCTGCTCAACGTGACTACGAGCTGCACTCTCTTGGCTTCAGCACTGCTTTCTTGCAGGGTAGCTTACACGAGGAGATCTGGCTGCGCCGCCCGCCTGGCTTCACTGGGTCTTTTCCTCCTGGCACCCAGTGGAGCCTCCGACGGCCAGTCTACGGTCTCCTCCAGGCACCACGTGAGTGGCATGACACACTGAGGACTACGCTTGCGGCTCTTGGGTTTGCTCCTTCTACTGCTGACCCGTCGCTGTTTTTGCGCACCGACACCTCTCTGCCGCCGTTCTACATCCTCGTGTACGTCGACGACTTGGTCTTTGCCACAGCTGACACTGCTGGACTCGCCTACGTGAAGTCCGAGCTGCAGAAGAGACACACGTGCACAGACCTGGGTGAACTGCGCAGCTACCTTGGCTTGCAGATCACCCGGGACAGAGCACGCCGGACCATTACCCTGACTCAGTCACACATGGTGCACCAGGTCCTTCAGCGCTTCGGCTTCACGTACTCCTCGCCTCAGGCCACTCCTCTGTCTACTCGCCACTCACTCTCAGCTCTGCCTTCGGATGAATCCGTAGAGTCGAGTGGCCCGTACCCAGAGCTTGTTGGCTGCCTCATGTACCTGATGACTTGCCCACGACCTGACCTTGCATACCCTCTTAGCATTCTCGCACGCTATGTTGCTCCTGGGAGACACAAACCGGAGCACATGGCTGCAGCGAAGAGGGTGTTGCGCTACTTGTGTTGCACCGAGTCAAGGGTGAAGGTGAGGGATGCCGAAGCCGACGAAGTACCTGAGAGAGCAGACTCACCAGCACCTGAGGAAGCAGACGCACTAGCACCTAGAGCAGCAGCCTCGCTAGCGCCAAGAGCAGCAGCCTCACCAGTACCTAGAGCAGCAGCCTCAATACCCGGGTCGGGCGGAAAGCACCGGTAACAGTCACCCTCATCACTAATAGTCACAGCATACATGGCAGCAAGAATAGCATCAAAGTCAAGGTCAAAGATAACTACTCCCGCCCTAGACAGCTCGCCCCAGCGAGGGATCTCAGTGGCCTCGGGGAACTGGTGACGCCAAGCGTCCGTCAGGCGACCAAAGCAGCACTGGGTGGAGTGCGCTCTGCCGCCTCCTCCACCTCCGCCGCCTCTGCCACCACCGCCGCCTCCGCTCCCTCCGCCACCACCGCCGCCTCCTCCGCCTCCACTGCTGCCACCAGCACCTCCACCCCCGCCACCACTCCCACTACCACCCCCACCCCTCTGCCGCCTCCACCGCCGCCTCCACTGCCCCCGCCTGCTCCTCCAGCGCCCTTGCCCCCCTTGCCCTTGCCTGTGCGGCACTTCCCCGAGGGGGCAGACGCCGCACCGACCGACTCGAAACCAACGAGGTCGGCCGCAACAGCAGAAGCAACAGAGGTTAAGAGGTGGGAGGGAGAGCACCCCTCAAAGACGGGGGTGCGGGGGTCACCACGAGAGGCTCCTACAGCGACTGTGCTCTTCTCTGCTGCTAAGATGGCCTTCTCGAGGAGGTCAACGGTGAGAGTGGTGGGGCAAACAGAGAGAAAGTGGTCCCTGACTACGTGGAGGGAGTCAGGGAGACGGATGACTATGTAGTAGAGGGTGATGTACATGGGGGGGGGGTTCTTAGCGCAGAACTCAGTAGGAAGCGCAACGCGGTAGCGAGTGTCACTAGTGCGGAGGTGGAAAATGAGGTCAGTGACTATGGGAAAGGCAGCAAGGTCAGGGAAGAGGTACGGTAGCATGAGGCGGCTCAGTGCGGCAGTGGCAGGGGAGGAGTAGCGTGCAACTACAGCATCATACAAGGTCTGAGCACTCTTGTACTGGCTAAAGTGCGCACGCTCAGAGGTAGGCAGGTGGCGACGCACAGCAAGACGTGCAGCAGCATCGCGCGTGGCCCACTGTGAGCGAACAGTGGCATCAGCATTAGCAGCGGGGGCAGGAGAGGCACCAGAAGTGAGGTCAAAGAGGGACAGGCCGTCTGCCCTATCGCACTATAAGAAAAGCTGCAGGTCATCTACCCAGACGTCAAAGTCAATGGCCCTACCCTCAGCGTCAAAAGCGAGGACACTAGGGGTAGCTATGTCAGCAGTAGACTAGCAACGCAAACAGTAGGGTGAGGGCAGTGAAGTGACAGAAGCGCTGCTCTCACCAGACAGGGCGGCTCGGCGGCAGGGCGACTCGGCCGCTTGGCTGCTGGGCGGCTCGGCGGCTCGGCGGCTCGGCTGCTCAGCTGCTGGGCGGCTCAGTAGCTCGGCGGCTCGGCTGCTCGGCTGCTGGGCGGCTCGACGGCTCGGCGGCTCGGGCGGCTCGGCTGCTGGGCGGCTCGGCGGCTAAGCGGCTCGGGCGTCTCGGCGGCTCGGCGGCTCGGGCGGCTCGGGTGGCGGGCGGCCCGACGGCTCGGCGGTGCGGCGACTCGGGCGGCTCGGGTGGTGGGCGGCTTGGCAGGAGGCGACGGCACTGGCGCCTTGGTGGTGACGGCGGGGCTGCGTGGGGATGGCGGCGGGGCCTGCAGAGGCGGCGCCGGGACCGCACAGGTAGGCGACGTGGCCGGGAAGGGCAGCACCGGGGCCGCAGGTAGGCGACGGGGCCAGCAAGGGCGGGGCCGGGTCGGGAAGGGCGGCGTCAGGGCCGCGGGGTAGGCGGCGGGGCCAGCAAGGACGGGGCCGGGTCGGGAAGGGCGGCGTCCGGGCCGCGGGGTAGGCGACGGGGCCGCAGGGCGGCGGATCGGGGCCGAGAAGGGCGGTGCAAGGGCCGCGGGGTAGGCGACGGGGCCGCAGGGCGGCGAATCGGGGCCGGGAAGGGCGGCGCAAGGGCCGCGGGGTAGGCGACGGGGTCGCAGAGCTGCGGATCGGGGCCAGGAAGGGCGGCGCCAGGGCCGCGGGGTAGGCGACGGGGCCGCTAGGGCGGCGGATCGGGGCCGTCAAGGGCGGCGCCGGGGCCACAGGGGTAGGCGACGGGTCGCTAGGGCAGCGGATCGGGGCCGCAAGGGCGGCGCGACACAGCCGCTAGGGCGGCACGATACAACCGCTAGGGCGGCGCGACAGGGTCGAGAAAGGGGAGCGCGACTCGGGCAAGGGCTGAGCGCGCTCCGGGTAGGAAAAAAAATATCGAATCGGTGGGCCCTAGGAACAGTTCCCACGAGGGAACCTGCTCGATACCATGAGAAAACTGAAACGAGAATTAATGAGCTATGAAACAGTTGGGTACAAGTACTAACCCTAATTGGGTTGTACCCCTTATGAGCTACCCCACTACAGCCTACACAAATGCATAATCTATAATGTTCTGACAGCCGCGGGCGATGGATAGAATGTACCGCGAGTGAAAAAAACAGGAGAAAATTAAGGGCCGAAATAGTAGGGAAACAATCATTCGACTAGGTAAGAAGATGGCGTGCCGAATGCCTAAGGCCTAAACCGTACTACGAGATATAGATTGACACAAAACACCAAGGATTTGGCTCTAGATACCATGTTGAAGCTAGGAATATGGAAGCCATGGCTAGGGAGAGAATTGTATTAGGAAAGAAGTGTCGAGATACAAGGCTAGAAAGGGATTGGAAACCCTAATTGAACTTAGGGTGTGTTCAGTCTATACTATAGCTACGAAATGAACCTAAATTGAACCTGGAAGCATAACTCGCTCTAAGCATGGTGGAATGATAAGAGAAGACCAAAATAAAGGCCAGAGCGAGCTCTAACCTACTCCAACACACGCTCCTGGTCGACCAGCTTCAGGTCGACCAGCGCAGCTGTAAGCCAACCATACCAAGTAGGCTGCCCAAAGTCGGCATCACCAAGTCGACGCCTTCGAGGTCGACCTCGCCAGGTCGACCTTGACGCCCTCCGAAGTCGGCGCCCCACCCAGGTCGACGTCTCCCCTCGTCGACCACCAGGCCGAAGTCTGCCACCGGCTCCCCAAGGTCGGCGGCTTTGCAGTGGCCCCATGCAGGTCGACCACAATTGTCGACCAGCACGCCCAAGTCGGCGTCGCCAACTACTTCAGGTCGGCTGCATCTCCCGCACACCCGACCACAAAGTCGGTTCCGCCCAAGTGAGGACGAGGCCAACCACAAATACCGTTGACATTTTAGTCCTGAACATTCCTTTGAAGTGCCCAGCTCTGCTCTCGGTGTTCACTCTAGCAATCGCCAACTTCCTTAGCGATATCAAGTTTGCTGCCATTTTTGGTACAAACAACACTTTCTCAATCACGATCGCCTTCTCGTCAGCTCCCAAGAATGCAGCCCTTCTTGCACCCATCACTCTCATTGAATGTCCAGATCCAGACTTGACTTCTGAAACGGGTGCTACACCAATACTTTCCGCACACGGTGTCATCGACCAAGCGGCTCTAGTGTCCAAGGTCCAAGTGCGTCGCGCGGATTCGTCTCGTGCTCTTTTCACACATGCTGCTTCTCCGGCCATCACATGGAAGAAGTGCCTTGCCGCCCTTCCTTTATAGCCATCACGATCCGCTACCATATTGACGCCATTCCTCTTGCCTTCATTCCTGTCATTGTTCTGGTAACTAGGGTTTCACTAGTCTGGCCGTTTGTGACACTGAACCCAAGTGTGTCCCTCTTTTGGCAGTACCAACAACTTCCCCTAAAGCGTCCAGATCCAGCCCTGTAGCTTCCTTGTCCTATAGCTTCAGTGTTCCAGTTTTCATAATCGTGCGTACTACCCCCGTTTCCGATGAAACCTATCACGTCCACTTTTTGAATTGTCTTCATCATACTCCAGATGTCTGGTCATGTTCACATACCGCTTATCGCCCTGCACGCTCTTAGGCCCACTTTGCTTGTTCCTCCATTTGCTTCCCTGCATGGCAAAACCACCATTGCTGCCATCCACGTTGTTCATCTGGCGCATTCAAAAATCCTCCTCCAAAAACTTGCCTTTTCAAGAGTCTATAGCCCCTAGTTCTGTGGGAGGCTCAAGCCACTCGTGAACTGCAACCATGACTCCGGTAGTAGCGACAGCATCTTCAGACGCTTGGCTTGTTCGGGATACACTATTACGGCCATTGTCAGCCTCGCGTACGCGTCCCGCATCCTCTCGAATAGGTTTTAGCGGTTCCCCTTCACTCACTCGTAGTAAAGACAACTCCTGTAGATGCCACCGGCGTCGGTGCATGGAAGTTCCTCAGCACGGCCCACGCCTTTGGCCCACAATCTGCTTCCTCTAGCAGATGCATGATGTGTGCCTGTTGATTCAGCTCCAGACTCTACGACATACGGTAATATCCTTCTGATGCCTTCTCATCCCATTCTCCTTGCAGCTCATGATCACTTGGCCTCTCTTATTTTCTCGTCGTCAACTTGAGAAGTCACACGTGCCTGAAGTATAGCTGCATCTTCCATGCACAATCATCGTAGCAAGTGCCGTTGGAATTTTCAACCGAGAAGTTCCTCAATACCTCCTTTAGTAAGGACCCCTAGCTGGTTCTCACCATCCTCGGCGCCGAAACACCCGTAGCTTGGCCTCCACTGCTTTCTTGGCTTGAGGACCCTTCCGCTCCACACTTAATCATGACGCTCTAATGGAAATCGATGTGGCAATCTGAGCTCTGATAACACTTGTTTCTCTTAAAACGTACTACCCTAGCTACTATTGCCCTTAGTTGATACTAAGACTCTCTCCTTGGGGTCACCTCCGAGGGTCCTTGGGTGCCTGACTAAGGTCACGCCCTATCCAAGGGTCTGAGCGTGTAGAGAGAGAGTTGTAATATCAGTTGAGGTCAGGCCTCTGTATAGGATTGAATGCGCACTTACTCAAAAAGCCATTTCGCGGAAGTTGGTCTTTTTGTAATGGTGGGGCAGCCATGTCAGCCTTTTTTATCAGTGTCTACTGTAATGTTACTCGTGCTCGTCAATGTGCATACTAGTAAGTTTAGTTACAATTCCTTGTTTAGGTAATATGTACGGTTGATTTTGCATGAAGTGTAAAATAGAGACAAAACTACATAACAATAGCAACTACAGCAGCACCTACTGTTAGAACATTATAACTTTTACATTTGTGTAGGCTGTAGTGGGGTAGCCCATAAGGGGTACAACCCAATTAGGGTTAGTACTTGTACCCAACTCTTTCATAGTTCAATGATTCCTCGTTTCTTCTCATGGTATCGAGCAGGTTCCCTAGTGGGAACGATTCCTAGGGCCCACCACCACGATTTTTTTTTTCTTGCCCGGAGCGCGCTTCGCTCCGGCCCGAGTCGCGCCCCGTGTGCTCTCCCTACCGTCGCGCCCTCGCTAGGCCCCTCACGGCCCCGTTGCGTCACCCTTAACGGCCCTCTCACGCCTCTCTAGCGCCGCCCTTACGGCCCGTCGCGCCGCCCTTACGGCCTATCGCGCCCGTCGCGCCGCCCTTACGGCCCCTCGTGCCGCCCTTACGGCTCCTCGAGCCGCCCTTACAGCCCCTTACGGCCCCTCCCGCGGCCAATTACGGCCCCACCCGCCGCCCGTCGGCCCCTTACGGCACCCTCGCGGCCCCTCAAGCCGCCTTCCGCGGCCTCCTTACGGCCCGTCGCCGCCCTTGGCGGCCCCTCGTGCCGCCCTTCATGGCCCCTCCGCCGCCCTTCGCGGCCCCTAGCGGCCGGCCGCCGCCGTCCCTGAGGCAGCAGCCGCCGGCGTCTCTACAGCAGCAGTCGCCACAGCTCCTGCAACTGCTGCCGTGGCCGTCACCAGCCACACCAGCCGCCAAGCAGCCCAGCAGCCGAGCGGCCGAGCCGCCGAGCCGCCGAGCCGCCAAGCCACCCAGCAGCCGAGCCGCCGAGCCGCCGAGCCGCCCAGCAGCCGAGCCGCCGAGCCGACAAGCCACCCAGCAGCCGAGCTACCGAGCCGCCCACCAGCCGACCGCCGAGCCGCCCGAGCCGCTTGAGCCGCCGAGTCGCCCGAGCCGCCCGAGTCGCCGAGTAGCCGAGCCGCAGTTGCTGCCGAGCCGCCCAGTTGCCAAGCCGCCGAGCCGCCGAGCCGCCCGAGCCGCCCTGTCCGGTAAGAGCAGCGCCTCT